ATAGCCCCATATAAAGAGGGGTTTTTTAAAAATGAATTCAAAGATCATGCGTTGAAATGAAATAATCTAAGCCAGAAAGTATGTGTGTAGTGTAGAAAGAAGGAAGGTAGGCGTAGGGGAACTAAATACCTATTACACTTGAATTTTGTTTACAAACAAAAATTAGTATTCGTTGGTAAGAAAGTGTGAGTGTATGTAAAAATTTTGCCAAAGTCTAGCCAATGTAGACCTCAACTTTTCTGTAGATTTTCCAATATCAGATGAGACGAACATATTCCATGTTGACTATAAACTCAGGCTGCTTAAACATCTTAATGGCTCAACACTATTGAACTCAAGTTATGCTATATATTATTACATAAAATGTAATTGGTAAGTTTAAATATGAATAAATTTATTCGAAAGAAATCAATTTTAATACATATATTAATAATTATTTTCTATATTATTTAGTAATGAGTTTGGATTTTCAGTTGTTTTATAGATACTATAGATTGTTTCATTTATATTCTCGGTTGCCGACCATTCATTGAGGTATTCTTCAAGCTCTGGCTCACACATAAATGTAGTTAAATCACAATAAGCTTCTACATAAATAATATATTCTGGAATGGAATTATATAGGATTGAATAGTATTTATATTAACTTTTTCTAATTAATACAGGCTGGTATCTTACCTTTATCATATTGGCAGGCTGAGTACTTCATATCGCACTTTGAGTCGAAATGCTTGAAGCAAACATTGATTTTATCTAAAACACAAATGGGTTTTTCTTCTTTTTCGCATTTTTTATATTTGCTACAGTCTTTCGAATTTTTTTTCGAACTCAATACTGAAATATTTAGAATTAATTAAGAAATTATTAATTAATTTTAATTTTATTATTAAAAGTCTTACCTAAAACTAGAAGACAAAAAATTATTAATGTTCTTACAAGTAGCTTCATTGTGCGTTGGTAATATAATTAATGAATTTAATTAATTAACTTTTAATTAATAATATGTTCATCAACTTTAAAATTAATATTTTAATTATAAATATTTCGTAGTAAACTGTTAAAATATTTTACGATATATATATCATATCCCACAATATGTATGTATGTATTTATAATATTAAGTATGTTCGCTTTATTATATATATTAATTTTTTTTTTTTTTTATAATTGAATGAATGTTTTTAATATATTCCTTAAATTATATATTAAATAACTTTATACTGTTTTTTATAAAATTAGTAGTTTCATATAATTGTATTTAATATTATTATATTTAATGTTAAAATGTGTATACATATTTATAATTGTATTTTTTATTTTACGTAGGCTTTATCGCGTTATTATGTATAATATCAACTATTTTAATTTACATGTATTAAAAAATTTTAAATAGTTTTTTTTAAATAATTTTTTTCATATAATTATATTTAATATTATGATTCTCACTATTCAATTTAAATTTTTTAATTGCTGAAACAGTACATAGATATACTATACATTTAAAATTTTAAATAATAAATGTCGCGTTATTTTATATTTGCTTGAGTTTTTTTTTCAATATACAAATTGCATATAAACTAACTTTTTAACAATGTTTTTAAAACAATTAGTTTGTATTAATTATATTGTATTTATGGTTATCTATCACTATTAAAAGTAATATGTATGTTTATCTTAACTTGTTTTTTATTTTTAAATTAATAATAATTATTTTGTTATTTACAAGAATTTTATACAAACATTTTTTATAATTTGTTTTTATTAATTATCTTTTTTATTATCACTTTCACTACCAAAAATTATATATATATATTGTTTTAAATATTTTTATTAAAATAATGAGGATTAGTATATTAATTATTTTAATACATTGTTTTTGTAAAATAAAAATTTATTAATTTAATTATTACTTTAATAATAATACTTTTATTATTATTTTTATAATAATACTTTTTGTATTATTGTAATATAATAATATTTATAATTTAAATTATCTTAATATTTTTAACATTAATTAGGTATTTATTTTATAATTTTTTTAACAATTTATTTGTATATATGAATATAATTATAACTTTCGCTGTTGAAACATTTTTAATTTTTGTAAAATAAAAATTTATTATAATTATTACTTTAGTAATAATATTTTTTGTATTATAGTAATATAATAATACTTATCTTATTATTTAATACTATACTAAAAGTTCGTTTTTTTATATAAATTATAATGTAATGCTTTCAATATTAATTATGTATTTATTTTAAAATTTTTTTAACAATTTATTTGTATATATAATTATTATTATAACTTTCAATGTTAAAACATATTTAATTTTTGTAAAACAAAAATTTATTATAATTATTATTTTAATAATACTACTTTTTGTATTATTGTAATATAATAATACTTATTGTATTATTGTAATATAATAATACTTATTGTATTATATTATACTATACTAATAATAATACAATAAGTATTAATTAAATTATTACTTTAATAATAATACTTTTATTATTACTTTAATAATAATATTTTTTGTATTATAGCAATATAATAATACTTATCTTATTATTTTATACTATTATAAAAGTTGGTTTTATATAAATTATAATGTAATGTTTTCAATATTAATTATGTATTTATTTTATATTTTTTTTTAACAATTTAATTGTATATATGTAATTACATCTTTCACTTTTAAAATATTTTTAGTTTTTGTAGTTGTATTTTTAATTTTAAATGTTATCACTTTTTTATAAACAATAATAATTTGTATAAATTTGTTTAATTTACTTTTTTTCTTGGTTAAATATTGTATAGTTTTGAACAAGTTTTCTTAACAATTTCGTTTAATTAATTATTTAATTATTTATAATTTTTACTATACAATAATTTGTTTTCAGTTTCAGCGTATATTTGTAATTTGTGTTCTATTAAATTTTTAAATTTATATTCAAGTAAATTTAGTTTTTTTTTGTTATTGTTTCCTTTATTATAAAAACCTTTATTTTAATTTATTATAATTTAATTTTCAAAATTACTTATTATAATTTTATTTTGAAAATTTTCAATTAAATTTGTTTGCCGGAATGCAAAGCACTTTTCAACTACTTCTGCTCTAAATTGACTGTTACCGTCTGGAATTATTTATTTTTCAATATTATTTTTTAAAATGAAAAGTACATATTTCAGACACTCGTACTTTATCAGACAAGTTCACCTATATACCAAAGAAGATAAATTTAAGGTTTTTCTGTTATTGTTTCACTCAAATGTCATTTTTATTTATTTTATTTTATTTTTCTTGAAATTAATTTAAACAAAAATTGAATGTTTGCGCAAGTGTTGTATATTTTGCAATAATTTATTTGCAATTTTATATACAAACCCATTTCTGAAAAGCTATGAACTTCTCAAATATTGTATATACAATTGCAGTTGTATAGATAATAAATATATCTGTACTCGCATGTTTTTAGTACTAAAATTTAGTAGCTAAAAATATTTTTCTAATGAATATAATAATTAATTAGAATGGGCTTTGCCGCATATTTGGTTTTTAAGATAAAAACAAAACGACTATTATTTTCTATACTTGACTCATTGATTTAAAACAGATCTTATCAATTACTTTGAATTTATTATATTTTAAATAATTTTTAGAAACGTTTGTAGTGTTTTTGATAACAAAATTAAACACAGCGTTTTGGTTATGTTTTTATCTCAAGTTATTAAGAAACGAAAAGTTTACTAATATAATAATAATAATAAATAATTAGTTTACGCAGATAGTCTATGCAGATTTTTATTAAATATATGTATGTATACATACTATCGTTTCTAAATTTTTGTATCTTATACTAGAAATTGCATAAAAGATATGATATACTTGATGAGCATCTTTTTAGCAATTGTTTACCAGAAAGAAGTTTACTGAGTTAGTATGTGCTTATCAATATTTTTAATATTATTATAAAATAAATATAGGAATATATATACATATAACATATATAGGAATATATATAATATATAGGAAAATAATAACTTATCGCCTTAATATCTCAAGATATAATCAAGTCAATAATAATTAATGGATGTTAATTCGCTGATAATTTATCTAACGAACATGTAATAATATCTACTGGCAATGTCATCTCTTTGCCGGATCGTAAGGTCAACATTATTATTGTTGCCAAAATAGATAAAACTCAAGACGGTTTTAATATTTAGTTTTAAGGAAGTAACTAAGAGTTTTAGTTACAAATATTCGTGCTAGTACTACACTTTAACTTTTGTAGAATAATGATGGATTAAGATGTATTTAATATAAGTATTTTGAGAAATTTCATATAATCTTTAGAACTTGGGTCAACTAAAGTTTTGAATTTATACAGATATAAATTAGTAACATAGTTTCAATAACAGTCGCTGATTTTTGAACTATAGGATCATACTATACTATACTATTCTATGGACTATACATACCTTGTGTTTGAGGTTAACAATCTGAACACCTTACCTATACATAGTTTTCTGAATGGAGGAATAGTATATAATTACGAATATTCGAAATTATTTCACTTACCCTAGTTATCGTAAGAAGGTGTATTTAAATATTCTGTAGAGATATCTGTCGATCAACCACTGCAACTATTCAATCTATAAATATTTTGTTAATAACCTTAGAGATTTTATGCTCATTTAAAGAGTTTTTAATTGATAAAGTTTTATATTAAAAAAACAAGACAAACAAAACACAAATTTAAATTTTATTCCAAATTTATTTTATCTCCTTCAAAATATGCTCCATCTGAAGCGATACACATATGCCAACGCTTAACCCCATCTTTCATACATTTTTCATAGGTCCGTGCAGGTAAGGCGTTTAGTTCCTTCGGCGAATTCTCTTTTACCGATTCAATCGACTCAAAACGCTTACCATGAAGGGGCAATTTGAGTTTCGGAAACAGGAAAAAGTCGCACGGCGCCAGATCTGGTGAATATGATGCCTGAGCGATGACAGTGGTGCCGTGTTTGGTCAAAAAATCGCGTACAACAAGAATTTTCCATAATAAAAATCGCTAAATGCACTTGAAATTTTTGAAAAAAGTCTATTACTTAAGGAGTAGTTAACAAACAACAAAATCCAGATACTTTTTGAGCAGAAGGTATTTGGAGTAAAGCTTCAATTACATTATCTTATAATAGACTCTACTTTTTAAATTGTAATGATCTTGATTATATTGTGAATTAAGATAGAAATTTGTTTGCTATCCATTTATATTGATGGGCTTACCAGTTCAATTGTTTGTTTATAATGGATGATATAAAAAGTGTCTGAAGTTTTTTGGTTAATTTTTAAACAAATATTTTTATTATTACAAATCAATTTTAATAACATATATATTAGTTATTATTATTTATGACTTCTTGCTATATTTTATGTAGCCTTATAATTTGTGTATTAATCGGAAGTTTATGAATCTATATCGTCGAAAAACATGGCTAAGTGACTTTCATTGGATCTTCGGTCAGCCAATTTTCTATCATTAAAAAAGTACCTCCACTATCTCCATGCAGTTCAGCAGTTGACAGCCAATCAAAATTTCACTGGCTTTTTAGTGACTGATCGATTAGGGCGTGGTACATCTTTGACATTAAAATTTACGAAACGGAATCGAAAAAACCACTTCTGGCATTCACTTAAAGCATTTTCACTGTAAATCGTAAAAAATTTTCGGCTTGTTACTAAATGGTATCGTCTTTTTTAAAAAATAAAGCATCACATAGCCCATTTCTTTATATATTATATTAATTTTTATAACTATGTAACTTTTTATACGAGTGACTAATTGCACAATTGTCTTTGCGAAAAAAGTGGCCAGAAATGTCACGTTTCAAGTACGTATTAGTTTGACATAATTAGATTAGTGTTACCAGAAATATATGGGTACCAACACCATATATTTACAAAAACAACCGCATAATTTTTATCTTACCCAATATAATTCTTTTTATGGGTAGAAGTGTTTATCTCTCATGCTTTGAAGCAAATTAAAGGAAAGTACGGCAAAGTAAAAGATGTCATAATTTTGGATGATTTTATAAGATAGAGTAAAAAATCATCAGCTCGAATTACTTTTAAAGTAATGGACGAAGAAGTTAGTATAGTGTTCGTCATCAGGTATATGTGCTTCTAAGTGATACATTCATAAATAACTACCTTAGTAATTTTAATTATAATATTTATTTTATTTATTTTATTATTTTATTTTAATTATGTATAACATATTAGTCCTTTATTTATAAATATTAATATTTGTTATTACAATGACAGTGTTACAGTGCTAAAGGCATTGGAACTCCATGCGATCTATTTATAATTTTTGTGGGTAGGGATAGACAAAATTAATGGATTAGTGAGAAAGTTTTATGGTATGAGAGCATGTTAATCAATTTTTATACTCTTTCAGTTGTTCATTAAGTCTAAGGTGCACTTTCTAAAGATATCAGTAACATTGATATTATTTTTATGTATTTGATGTTTATATTAATTTAAATATATTATTACATATTGATATATATTTATATGTTTTGATATATCATATTTAATAAATGAGATGAATTGATTTAAGCTATGACAAATATATTTTAGAAGCATCTTTAAATCCGACACCGTTCTCTTCAAGAATGCAAGAAACTTAAACGTGATTTTTTTAATTTTATCGTTACAATTTTAAGATAATTATTTACAGATGCATTCCATAAAATAACACGTACAAGTTTTTAATTCCATAAAACAGACTTGCTTAATACAAATTTTTGTAGTTATTATAGATTTGTAGGGTTATTCAGAAGTCTTTCAGGTAAGAGAGTAGTTCGTTCTAATAACAGCCGCAATATGAAATGCTTCTCGAGTTTAACTATTTTCTCTACTATTTTCTTAGGTGAGTTTATTTATTAAAAAATGTACCACAAACTTATTAAAAGAATTTTGTATAAATTATTTTTGCTTATTTAGCGCAATGTTAATATTATATTTTTTAAATTTTTCGATCTTGTAGTTTGCATGACAAGCCAAATTATTTATGCTAGACCGAATGATTTGGCTGCAAAACTTGAAAAACTATTGCGTGATCCAGAAAATGATGACAAATTTAATGAGATTGGTGCTTTTGAAGAGGAAAAAAATTATAGTTATGAAGGCTCTGGATATTCCCCTACTAATTCTCCTATTAATGTTGTAACGCCACGATTCTATACAACCAAAGAACCAACAACTGAAAGTACTTTAAGAGTCGACTTTTCAAGCCAAAGACAGCGTATGTTTACTCTTTTATCATCAATGTTTGCATATATGATGGCTTCATTGCAATTTTTTAATTAAAAATTATATTTAACGCATTTTAATAATGATTTCAGTTAAAGATATATATAAGCGTATAAATATTATTTTAGAAATTTTAGAAAATACGCATGTATTGTTTATAAATAATTAAAATGATAAATTAAATAAATAAAATAGGTGGTTGAAGGTATTATCAATGATTCTCATACACACGATAAACTGCATTAGATTACCATTCCCATAAATAGTGAAACCTTTAGGCTTCTTGATCGAGTATGATACCCATATAAATAACATAAAGCTTTTTATATATTTTATTATTATTTATTGAATGTTCTCTATGAAATCTATATTGCTATAGACCATTAAAGACGTATGAGTTTTGAAATAGGTGTAGTGTATACGAGTGTTTTTATGTGCTTTCTACCGCCAAGCTGTGAAAGACTTGTCCTTAGAGTATCAATTACTACAGAGTTTGTAGTAATTATTGGAAAATAATTTAAAATTTTCGAGCAGCCACTTTAAATTTAAGGTAAAGATTTATAGTAAAATTATTACTTAAAAGTTATATTAAATAAATTAATAAAAATGCTGCTCGAATTAAACCATAAATTCCATGAAATTATGTTTCTATAAAACATACTGATTCATAAACAGAATCAGCAATAGCAAAACATGGGAAAATATATTTATGTTTTCTGAGGGTTATTGCCCAACTATTTTAATCACAAAATAATTTTAGTCACACATTTAAACCGGGGTGTAGCATTTTTGGTCGCCACTCTACTTCACGAACGGTTGATAATATGTTGGAATTGATCACGAACCATAATACTATGGCTATAGTCCTTAAAACGACTATAAAACGACTATAGTCATCGTTGTAATATCAGTTACCTATTATTAAACACCTTATCTCTTAATTGGTTTTAAGATTGAACCCTGATGAATGTTCTTTACTATATTTTCTTTGACAAGTACCTGATATTACATTAATAATAAATCAATAAATTAATATTTGAATAGTTTTTGGTGTTAAATGTAAATTATTAATTAATATTAAATAATTAAAATACACAACAAATATTATTAAATATTTTATTTGTGAATATAAGTACTTTTAAATTATAAATAATTATAAAATTTTAAATTATAAATTATTTTCAATTATTTAATATATTTAAATAATGCTTGTATATAAATTAATCTTAGTTACATAGACGCACTCCAGGCTTAGAACATTCCTCCAAACCAACTTGTCGGAAATCTAAAAAGGTATTTGAAATTAAAATATATTTAAATTATTATTATTATTATTACTATTAATATTAATAAAAAAGTTGTCTAAAAATGATTGAAATACTCGTTATCGCATTGTGATATCATTAAAAAAAAATGGCATAAAGTTTTTGGCCCACCAATATTAAACTATCAAATATCAATAATAATGCAGCATTTACATAATACGGAGCTACTGGTTGTAGGTAGAGCTGCGGTCGCTGTTTTCAACTTGTAGAGTATCAAAATTCTTATGAATAACTGTTTTCTTGAAAAGTTTTCCGACTTTTATCTTGAACTTGATTATTCCATACGTCCATGATTCTGATTCATACAAAATCAAGGAATGATCGTAAGTTGTATCAGTTGAAAAAGAGCTTAACATTTTATTTGTTCAGTAAGGCCGTAGCAGAACCTATTGGTAAGGATCTGATTCTTTGTCTGAATTATAAGTTGATGACGTAATGATTAGTTGCGACGGTGCCAAGAAATATAAAGTCCTCGATAGCTACGGTAGTGGTGATTGATATAGACTTTGATTTGTCTTGGAGTAAATGGCTAGAAGTACCAGTCTTTTGTAAATACCCATCATCGTCCATAATTCTCACTCCTAGCTTAGATAATTTTAAAAACTCAAATAATATATAAAGCTACTAACATCTTCACTCTCTGATTACTGAAACGCGATCTTGGCGAGATACCTTCATAGTCTGGTGGCTGAGATCTTCTCAACTTGTTCCCAAGACGTGGTTTTTCTGGGTTCAAGATATCCACTGTGGCTTTCGATGCTTTCTATCTACTGCAAAACAAAAAAAATCGAGTTTTTTGTTTATCTCGTTTTTAAAGATTTCAAAGGCAGCAGTGAAATTACGCTAGCTACACTCAATGGTGTCAATGGTGTCAGCATAAATAGCTAAACAATTATATACAATGTTGTAAAAAAAATACATACATTGTATATATATATATATATATTTATTCATCCTATTATTATAACAAACATCTGCCTTGGCATGACCACCTTCTTATTTAAAGGGATTAGCTTGTTTAAAGCCTGGTACCGTAGTATCAGAGAAACTTGTTTCTACGTTGAAGGTTATTGGCCAAAGTCATTCTGCAGGGGCGTATTAGCTTTGGGAGAATAGCGAGCTTAGACAGTAAAGCGTAAACGTGATTCATTAGATATTGGAAGTCAATATTTTGTTTGTGGGTTTTTGCCTGGATTTTTCGCAGTGTGAGTATTAATTCAATGGTGAAACGAGCAGGTCAAAAGTTGGCAAGTGACTTCAACTTTTCATATATTACGGTTGAAAAGACTTTGTACGCGACAGACTTTGTCGCGTAAGGATAACAAATTAAATATTATGTTTTAACTCAAGATATGATAACTAACATATGTCTTGGCATATTTTCAATGGAAGTCTAATTTCTTGTAATAAGTATATAATATATTCACAAGCGGCGAGAAAATAACATTTCTGTGACATATCAATATTCTCAGATCAATATGTCGAAAGAGTATGCAATCTCATGTTATATAGATGAAAATCTAATGAAGGTAACTAAAAGATGATTGCTGAAATATGAGAACTTATTATTAGTTGGAAAAGGATCTGTATTTGAGATGTCTAACTGGTGGACATCCAATTTATAAGCTTTTATAGTGGAACGCATCAATATGATTAGATTTAGTCATATGGACTGGAAGATGTAAATTTTTACACTATTCTTTTAATACAAAATTAAAAAATTAGTAAAAACTGTATAAAACTACTTACGTCCTCTTCCAATGCATGGTGATGCATCCAATTCGCAACTGTTACCAAATTCTTTAAAACATATTCCATTAAAACCGCAAACAGGTGAAAGGACTGCTGGACAGATTTCAGGGCACCCATTTTTTTGTGCTTGAATAGAGCATATAAACATGAATGCTGTAGAATAAAAAATTTATTAAAAATTACAGAATTCTTTATTAATAATACATATTGCAAAAAAAATAGAAAGCACATACCGAAAACGATTAAAGCAATGAATTTCATTTTAATTAATTTAAAATTAATGTAATTTTTTTAACTCTCTTATTTCAACAACTGCACTGAACAGCAAATTAAATAGAAGTGATCATGAAATTGATATACCATCAATATATATAAAATTTTTTTAATTGAGAATATATAAAATAAATAAAAATCACTGATGATAGTAGTCACATAAATTGGGATTTTTTTAGTTTCCGTACTTGTTTGGTTTCTCTGCATTAATTATTCTATTAATTATAGGTTTAACGATCATAGAGTAGTGTTAAATTAGTGCACTCTAAAGTTGGCATAATAGTTATATATTTACTTACTTATACACATGAGTTGATAAAGTGGAAGAAAATCAACACTCCTTAATTAGTTAATACGATTTATTGATGACAAGTATTTCAAAAATTGTAGACAGAGTGTTGAGTGGTAAATACGAGCGTATGATGGATTTCTAGACTGGAGATGATGTAAATGAAATTAAGGAATTGTACGGATATAATCTTTGATTTGAATTTTCTTTATAAAGAAACTAATATCAAGAGTACTAAAGCTTATAGATCTATATTTCTATAGACCATTAGAAAATAATCAATTTTGAAATGAGTGTAATATATTCTGAAGTTACCTTACACTTCTAAAGTATTTTTATGTGCTTTCTACAACCAAAAAATGTTGATACATAAACAGAATCAGCAACAACAAAAAATTGGTTAGTGTATAAGTTAACACCCCGCATCCTTTCAAATCCGACCACTGCGCTTAGTTTCATTAACGGCATAATCATCCGATATTATTTCGATCGGTTGATTGCAACCAAACCGAATACCAACTTGTTTGTCTGGAAAAGTCCCGTTTGGCCTTCGTGTCTCTCAATGTGACAATCGAAACTCGTTCACTTTTACTTGACTTCGGAACTACATACATGTCTCTTTGTCTGCACTTTAATAAAAAATAAATATAACATCACAAACGTGGTGATCATAAAAATATTATAAATAACTTATATATACTGTCTGGGGTTCATTACCCCATTGGTCTTGTCTTTGTCACACATTTAAAACCGGTCTTTAGCATTTTTGGCTGCCACTCTACGCTACAAACCAGAAGAATGATTGATACGTGTGTACGCAATATGCTGAAATTGATCACGAAGCATGATACTCTGGTTATAGTTCTTGACACTACTATAACATAGCTTGATAATTATCGTTGTAATAGCAGTTACCTATTATTAAACATCTTAGCCCTTAATTGGTTTTAAGACTGAACCCTGATAAGTGTTCTTTACTATATAAACTATTGACGTTTTGTACTCTGCAATTTGATTTGATATTCTTTGACAATCATCTGATACTGCATTAATAATATATTAATAAATAAATATTTTAATAATTTTTGGTGTTAAAAATAAATTAAAAATAGCATAATAGCATAATGGTAAGAAGATAAAATAGCATAAAATTAAAATAGCATAATGGTAAGAAGAGGAGAAATATACTATTACATCATATTTATCAAACAAAAGTTGTAAGTTTACTGGTTTAAACACTACTTAAGTAATATTTAAATAATTAAAATACACAACAAATATTATTAGATATTTTATTTATGAATATTAGAATGTCTTAAATGTAAACTATTTTCAACTATTTTACATATTTAAATAATGTTTGTATATAAATTAATCTTAGTTACATAGACGCACTCCACGCTTAGAACATTCCTCCAAACCAACTTGTCGGAAACCTAAAAAGAAATTTGAAAAATAAAAAATAATCATTATTATTATTTTTGTTATTATTATTATTACTGTTATTATTAATATAAAAGTTGTCTCAAAATATTTGGAATACTCGTTATCCCATTGTGATATTATTAAAAAAAAAATATGCATCAAGTTTTTGACCCACCAATATTAAACTATCAGATATCAATAATAATTTATAATTTACTGGTCCCATAAATTTTTCAAAATAGAAACTTTATTAAAAAAGTAACTTTATTAAAAAACGAGCAATGTAAGTTATGTAAGGTAAGGTATAAGTTATTGAATGTTTGATATTATTTTGGCTGATTCTGAAAATATAGACAACGATGTAGAATGTCGTATTATACCTTATCATTTTAGCTTCATTATGAATGTCTTTTACAACAGTGTGAAAGGTATTCCATACCTATTTACATATTACTTATTTATTTGTCTATAGCAATTCCTTATTGTTTCCGATATGATAAGACATTTCTTTTATGGTATGTCTGATTCGTGATTAGTACTCCCTCGAATCGATCACTACATCAAAACAAGGTCTTATTCTATATTTTCTTCCACTAACAGTTACCTTTTTTGTTGTAGTATCGTTATCAATTCTTTTAACATGATTAAGTTAGCAAAAAGTGAATGTTAATACGCTGAACTATGGCAATGCTGTGATAAAGCTTATAATAGCTTGATGATTGTTTAGATGCGGTGGTTATTCTCCGCTTATAGAGGAGCAAAAACTTCACGAATAATTTTTACTACTACTACTACTTACTACCTGATCACTCTGTGATAGCCTCCATTATTCTGCTGCATACAAAATCATAGGATAAGCGTTAATTATATCAGTGGATAGATACCTGTACATTTTAATTCTTTAATGAGGTCGTAGCAGCATCTATTGATAAGAGTGTGATTCACTATTGCTAAGCGAGTTTAGACATCACTACGCAAACGCGATCCATGATAGGGTTACCGAAATTTTCATGGGCTTTTTTCTGAGTTTGTCAGTTTGTCGGTGTGTGAATATTTATTCAATGGCGAAACGCCAAGGTCAAAAGTTGAATTGAGAAGACTCAATCAGTGAGTTGGCAAGAGACTTTAACCTTTAATATGCTTCACTTGAGAGGACGTTGTACGCGACAGTTATTAGATTGATCCCACGATAGTTAGCTAAAATAATTTTTATTCTCAGAATACAGCATAAGGATGACTGAATAAAATTATATTTTGGCATATCAATGGAAGTTTGATTTTTTGTAATAAGTAGATAACACATTCACAAGCAGCGGGAAAATAGCATTTTAGGAACATATGTTAATAATATTATCAGATCAATATAGTGGAAGAGTAATAATATCAAACTATATAGATAAATATCTAAACGAAGTAACTAAAAGCTAATTAATGAAATATTAGAACTAGTCATTAGTTAGATAAGGATTAATATTTTTAAAATCTATGTAAGAAATGTCTATCTGTTGAACATCTCATTTGTAGGCTTTTTTAATAAAATAAATTATTGGGATCAAATCTGCTTATTTGAACAGAAACTTGTCAACTTTCAAACTATTGTTTTAATGGAAATTTATAAAAAAAACTAAAAGAACTCTTAATTCTAGAAACTACTTACGTCCTTTTCCATTGCATGCTGATGCACCCAATTCGCAACTATTACCAAACTGTTTATAACATTTTCCATTGAAAGCACAAACGGGTGAAAAAATTGCTGGACAGAATCGAGGACAATCATCTTTTTGTGCTTGAATAGAGCATACAAGCACTAATGCTGCAGAACAAAAATTTATTAGAAAATTCACAATTTGTTATTAATAATACATATTGTAAGAAAAAAAGAACACAAACCGAAAATAATTAAAGCAATGAATTTCATTTTAATTAATTTAAATTTAATTAATTTTTTTAAAACTCTTTTTTTAACAACTGCACCGAACAGCAAATTAAATAGAAGTGGTCATGAAATTGATTATAGCTTCAACATATATAAAATATTTTTACCTGAGAATATATAAAATAAATAAAAATCATTGATGACAGTAGTCACAAAAATTGGGATTTTTTTAGTTCCCGTACTTGTTTGGTTTCTTTGCATTTTATTATTCTATTAATTATAGGTTTAACGATCATAGAGTAGTGTTAAATTAGTGCACCCTACAGTTGGCATAATAGTTTTATATTTAGTTACTTAAATACATGTTAAATTGAGTTGATAAAGTGGAACATAACAACACTCCTTAGTTAGTACGATTTATTGATGACAAGTATTTCAAAAATTATAGACAGAGTGTTGAGTGATAAATATGAGCGTATGATGGATTTCTAAACTGGAGATGCTGTAAATTAAATTGAGAAATTGTACGGTAATGTGCTTTGTAAGCAGAGGTGCTTTTATACAGTAAAATGCATTTTGTTGCTTAGTTTCAAAGAATATTATTAACAAGACTTCTGAAAGGGTCTAGCAAACAGATACTAATATATTCCAATAATTCGGTTTCCCATTATAAACTATTTTAGAAACTTTGTTTTGTTCATTGTAATCGATTATGCGGTTTTGGATTAAGGCCTTGATCTAACTGTTACGAAAAGCCCTCATCAATGGGGCTTCACAGACACTGATCATATAACAATTTTATTTGTACTTTATTTTTTAGACGTTTTCCATTAGTATTCTATGGTGTAGTGTATTTTAGGAACTGAATATATTGTATTTATAATTTATTCAAAATTACGCAATTGAATAACATTTGGCCTAAACTGATGAGATTTTTGTTTGAACTCTCTTATCCAAACAAGCTGTTGCTTTAAATATATTTGATGCTATACATTTTAGTTAAGATACTCGTATCTCTTATTAATTCATAAAAGGTGCTTATTAAAAATAAATATTGTTTTTGACACAAATAATTTAAAATAAAAAAAACGGATGATGTAGCAAAACAAATAAATAATTTATTATTTTAGTTAATTAAATGATCTCGAGTGTGTTTGTCGAATTTTATAAATATTTATTTTGTTTAAAACACTTAAACGAAACGATTTAGCCAAGTTAAGATTCTGTTAACAATTAAGTTGCTTATATGTATGTATTTCTTTCTTCTATATAACTGAATTTCTTAGAGTACTTATAATTTAATTAATAAAAAATATAAATGGTTTTAATTATTACATTACTGAAAATACCATACGAATACTTTTTAGTTTTTGTTAAATACTAAATGCTACTTATGTC